GAGGTGGCTTAGAGCCATTGAGGATGAGATTTAGGCTTTAAAAATAAACAAGATTTGAGACATTGTAGAATTACCTTTAGGTAAGAAACTTATAGGGTGTAAATGGATTTTTAGGCTAAAATACAATGCCAATAGGACTCTAAACAAATTGAAAATGCGAGTAGTGGCTAAGGCTTATAGTTAAGTTAAGGGTATTGATTATTTTGATATATGTTCACATGTAAAAATGATAACAATAGGGTTAGTTTTAACTTTGAGTGTGAAAAATGGTCGGAATATTTATCAAATAGATGTTAGTAATGAATTCTTACAAATCTAAATAAAAAAGCTACATGAAAATTTCTTAAGGGTTTGGTAGAACAAGGAGAATAAGGTTGGGTAAAAAGGCAAAATTACCCTAGAATTTTTCCTCCAGAGGCGTTTGGTATCCTAAACCTTTTTTAGGAACAATGTCGCCCTGAAACTTTTCAAAAAAGTACAGTATTACCCAACCGTCAAAGTTGACTGTTAATTGTCCATGTATTTAGCTTCAACTGCCACCTAACAGCCCATGAAATTTTTAAAAAAGTTAAAAAAAAAGAAAAGACAAAGATACGTGGCAATAAAAAAGGCTTCTTGGCTGTTCTTTTTCTTCAATCGTCTCTTCTTCTCCTCTTCTCCATTAAAGCTTATCCTACCACTCAAAGCTAAACTACATTTGATTGGGGTCTTATGGTGATCGGCATCCTCCTCTTTGTCTTGCTCCAGCCAAGCTTATTCTTTGCATGTTAATTCACACCCTCACATTCTTCACTCTTTATGCCCTCATTCTCTTTGCCTTTCATGTTTGCTGATCAGGTTTCCTCAATCATTATTGTTTGTACTTGATGTATTGTAGCCCTTAATTCTGTCCTTCATGTTAAGGGTCTTGGTCAAAGGTTCAAGTGTGAGACTTGAAGAATTTGTAAATAGGATCATCTGGGCCTTCTGCTTGTTCTTGCTCTGCCATTGCTTCTTCTTCCTCCTCCTCCTCATCCCTTTCTTCTTCTTATTTGAGTAGTGGAAGAAAAATTGGGCCTGAAGATTGAGAAACATAAGTTGGCAATGTTATAGCATAAAGCAAGAGCAAGTTGAGGGTTTTTGAACACAAAGTATGATTGAACATGTTTGTTAACTCGAAGGAAAATGTCTCATCCTCATGAGGTTTTAGGCCTGAAGTTTCTAGAAATATAAAAATTTAGTCTACAAGCTTGACAATGTTCTAGATTTAGTCCACAAGCTCAAGGCCATTCCAAATCTAGTCCATGAGTTCAATGATGTTTTGGATCTGATTCATGAGTTTGCCTTCTAGTTGCTATGCTTTTTTTTTCTTTTGGTTCTTTGATTTTTATTTTTGATAAAAATTATTATGATTTCTAAGTTTGTTGTTGATAAAAGATTGGATTCTAAAAATTCATTACTATGATTTAAAAGTCTAATGGATAGTCTTCCCAATATTATGCCTTAGCCTTCCATATCAGATTCTTAAGATTGGATTCTCTACCTCCATTTATTGCGATTGGTTTGGCAAAGAGGTAGAAGGGTGTCTTGGTTAAAGAAGGATGTTGTAAATGGTTTGGTTAAAGAATGCTGTAGATGAGATTGATGAGGATGCATAGTTTTTTTATTTTTATTAATTATTTATCCAACTCATCATGCCACATGTATATTAGTTGGTCAAATAAAATTATTTAATGATCAACATCTATCAGATTTAACGATTGGGTAACATTGTATTGTTTTGAAAAAATTTTAAGGTGACATTGCTTCTAAAAAAGTTTAGAATGTCAGGCGCCCCTGAAAAATGAGTTCCAAGGCATTTTTTCCCTTTTAGCCAATAAGGTTTACAAGTTTGTGAAGTCATTAGATAGGTTGAAACAAGCTAGAAGACAATGTAACATTAAATTGTTTAATGCTTTAATAAAGGGTGGTTTTTCCCAAAATATACATTATTATCCACTCTTTATCAAACAAAATGAAGATGATTTTATGGTTGGGTAAGCCTATGTTGATGATTTAGTCATTATAGGTAAATATGAATCTATGATTGAGGAAACTAAATAATATCTGCAAAATAACTTTAAAATGAAAGATTTGGATACTTTGAAATATTTTTTTTTTGTCATAGAAATTGTTATACTAGTATTAAATTAGGAAAAATATAATTTAGACTTAAGATCTAGATAAGTTTAGAAATATTTCAATGACTCTAAGTCTGAAATTACACAATGAGTTACTACAAGGGGAGAAAGATGAGATGTTAAAAGATCTCACAAGGTATAAGAGGATGATTAGGAAATTACTTTATTTAATTGTTAAACATATCAATCAATCAATTTTTTTTGTTGACCTTTTTTATTTAGTATAGATTCTCAATCAACTTCAATAGCCCCAAGAAAAACACATATGAAAATTGCCATGAATGTAGTAAAATATCTCAAAATGAATCCCCAAGGTAGAGTGTTTTTCCTTGTTGAAGAAGGAACAATACTAATCAATTTTTGTGACTTTGATTAGGCCAAATTGTTATCGATTATCATATTCAAATGTGAAAAGCTCCAATAGCTTGGAAATATAAGAAGTAAACTATAGCATCAAAATCACCCGCTAAGGCAGAGCATAAAGCCTTGAGGGGTGTAGTAGCTACATAGTATGGGTAATTGGCTTATTGAATGATTTGGGAGTCAAAGATATTAGTCCTATTGCTATTGTGGTGATAGTAAAGCTTCACCATAGATTGCATCCAATTCAATTTTTATGAACACACAAAACATATCAAAATAGATTGTCATTTCGTTTGAGAAAAGTTATAGGATGGTTTGATTACTTTACAGAATGTGTCTTCTCAAGAACAAGTTGCAGATATTCTAACTAAAGCTTTAGGGAAAACCAATCATGGATAATAGTTAATCAAGTTGGAAGAGCAAGCTATAGATATTCTAACAAAAGCATTAGGGAAAACCAATCATGAAAAATTGTTAACCAAATTGAGAGCCTTAAACATTCTCGATTCCAACTTAAAGGGGAGTATAGAAAGTATTTATCCATAGGTGAAGTGATTTGGCATTTGTGATATGATGTATTGGGTAGTTATATTTTTTTCGTGATTTAGTCGGATATCAAATATTAGATCTTGTATCTTGATTTTTATTTGCATGGGCTACATAAAGTAGAGCCTAACACACATTGTGTTAAATTTTCTTTATATTTTGATTGTTATTTAGATCAAGCCCAAGTCTCTACTAGAGTCCTAAATAAGGGTCGAGTTTGGCAGCCCACTCATTTAAGCCCCTTTTATTAGGAGTTGGGTTTGAAAAATTGGTTATTTTTAAGGAAATTAGGTTTCAAATCTTGACCCTCATAAGCTCTAAAAAATGAGCTTGTGCCTCGAGCGGCCTATCAAGCTCAGTTCTTTATTTTTTTTTCATTTGTCCTCTTAAGTCTAAACGCATTATTAGCTCTGAAGTCTCGAGTCTAAAGAAAACCATAATCCTACTTGCCTCTCTCAACTCACGCATTCTCACTTGATACACACACACACACACACAAAATGATCTCACTCGCCTCTTATCTCTCCTCCTTCTTTAGCCAGCTCGATCTTAGTGACGAACGGCTCTCAGCTTTCCTCCTTCTTTAGCTAGCTCAATCTTAACGACGAAGTGCCCTCAGCTCTCCTCCTTCTATGGCCCTCTCTATTTTGATGATGAACTATTGTTGTCTCTCCCCCCTCTTGATCTCAGTGACTGACCACAATTCTCATGATTCAGGTGCTCATGACGGCAAATTGCTTTAAGTGCTCGCAATTTAGGTGCTCACTTTCTGACTCATAATGCTTGCAATTCAAGTCTTTGCTTCAACCTTCAAGTACTTTTAATTCTTTGTCTTTTTTCATTATGGTTTAAATTTGATCTATATAATATTTCACTACTCATATTAAAATAGGTGACCCCTTCAATTGACATCCTTGAATTTACATTTAAAAAGCCATCGTCCTTGAATTTGATCTATATAATAGATGCAATATATTGCAAGCCTTATTCCTGTCTTGCTTCCAAATGATGTCATCATTATTTTGGTTGCTAGTATGTTATTTTATTTTTTATTTTGATTTTGTGATTCATGAACCTCCTAACAACAACTTGATCTAGATTGTTGATGATCAATAATGAGTAATTATATACATTTATATCTAGATTTTACTATGTTATTTCATTTTTGATCTAGATTGTCCTTATTGAATTTTTATACTTGATCTTGTGATATATAAATATTTAATATATATTTGATAGTGACACAATTTAATTAAATATTAGGAAGAAAAAGTTGAGGATCTACCTCTAAGGACTTTTTAACATTTTATTTATAGATGATAGATAATGATGAGGACGAGAAGGATTTGAATTTAGATTGACAAATATTTTAATTAATTTAAACATCTAAATATATGATGCTTATTTTCAAAAAGATTTTGAAAATCTTGATTTGTTTTATTTTTAATTTTAAAATACTGTAACTAATTTTTTCCCAAAAAAAAAAGACTTTTGAGCTTGAAACTCATCAAGAGAGGTGGAGCTTAAAAAACAAAAAAAAGGCCAACAAAATGAAAAATTTGATTTATATGGGCCTGCGCCCGCCGTTTTCCAGCTCTAGTGTTTACTCCTCCCTACATGATATCCCGCTTCACATCTTGCTTCCACTCTTTCTTCTTGCGTGGCAAGGCAAATCATATCTATTTCTTTGAAAGTAAGATCTAATGCTTACTAGTATCCCGAATTACTTTCAATAAAAAGCAGCTCATAAGCAATTAAAAAAAAAAAAATCGTCAACCAGCGTGAAGGATTTCAGAGTGACTTCCAAACAAGAAAGGAATTAGCATTATTAGCTTCGGAAGGGGTTTAATGACCCACACTTGGGTAACAATAACTAGAGTTCTTTTCTTTTCTTTTCTTTTTTTTAAACAGTAACCTTTAGTACTAGAAAAATGATCGCATAACCATAAATTTCATAGTATGAGATTTAGAACTTGCTGTAGTTGGACCTTCTAAAAGAGGAGCCGGCTTCCACTATTGTAAAACATAATAATTCACACTGTACATACTCATCAACATTTCAATAAACCAAAGAAATGAATGCAACAGCCAATAAATATTGTGGAAGGGTCCCTCATCTAATATTTGTACAAAAAAAGAAAAAGGGGGGCTTTATTTCTTGTCCTTAGAGTTGAGTTCAGATTGAGCGGCAGCTTTGACCAAAGTTGTTGGCTTGATAACGCTCTTGGGGTTAAGGGCCTTCCTTATTTTGAACACTGCCCATGCTGCTCCTATCGCATGGCCTGCAGCGTCTAACCCTTCATTTGTCACCTTCGCTGCTTCCTCTCCATATCTACAACATTCACATATTCATTATTCACCTCCAGCAAAACCAAACGATGCCTGCACACTAATCCAACCATATTTATTATACACATAAAACCTAGGGATACTCTGTTTCTCCATCTCAAGACACGACTAGTTGCAATTTCCAATGTAGCGTCACTCCTCGTCACCAAGAATGGCACAGTTAACTATTCTAAGCATTCGTTGCTTAGGGTTTGAAAAGGAGGTTATCATCCATCACTTGATGCCTCCGCACATTCCTTCCCCCAAATTCCCCAATATTTTTCTTTAGAAGTATTACATGGAGAACAATGTAATAATAAACAGAGAAAGATAACATTGGCGGTCGCAATGATATTCCCGCTGTTTAAATTCAGAGATTTTAAAAAACGGAGAATGCACTTACTTGTGTGAAACAAGCCCAGTGGTCACAACCGATGATGTGGACATAACATTCTTTCCGGCGACTTCAACAGCATCACACACCTTATCTGCATTTGCACGCGCCAATATCAGCCATCAGTGACAGATTAAGGTGCGAAAAGAAAAGCCTTAAGCTTCTATGCCTAACACAATCCGAACAAGTCTGTAAAAGTACTAGCAGCCCCATTTGACTAAGTAAGTTTCAAACTCCCAACACAGGAAAATGGATTCATCTTAATAGCTTCATGAATTATGAGTTCATGACTGTTCAGGTGTCTAAACAACTTCAGATTTTGAGTCTTCCTTGGACTAGTTCCTGTTTAGCAACTATATCTATATGGAAACCTATAATCTCTATGACCCTAGGATAAAAACTTTCTGAAAGCTTAAGAACCACTAACACAATATATTTAATTTTCCATTTGTATATCTATATATGTCTGCATCATCATTCTCGAATACGTTTAACAGATTACCAAATAACATCCACTCGACTACTGAACACCACCAAAGCTATTGTCTAAGAGTACGATGGAGAAGAAACAGAATGATCGCTTGCTTATTATCATCAAATACCTAGACTTTGGAAACTTCCCCTCAAGTAGTATTGAGATTGATGCTTCCAAATTGTGAAGTTAATAAAATACATCCATAACATATCAATATGCATGTTCAGAACAATAAATCAGTTTGCATATAATAGCCTGAAGTGGATCAGTTTTCGCATCCCGCTAATCCCCGCAACAATGCCCACGCACAAATTGAGTTAAACAAGGTTAAGAGACGAATGACTCACTAAATCCATCCAGGGAGGCAAGGACGATTTCTCCTGGGAGAAGGCTGAAGAACTTCTTGCCGGCTTTTGAGTTCACCACGGCACTCGTGAAGAATCCGGACACCTTGACGACCCCTGAGAGCACCCCAACCGCCACTTTCTCTGACCTCTTCGTCAACTTCTTCACCCTATCCCAAGGAAAAAACCAAAAAATAAAAAAACTTAAGATTTTTCCAATCATCAGAAAAACCAAAAAGATAAAGGAGGAATGATAGAGAGTTCCCAACCTTTTCATCCTCTTCATAGCTTCCGGGCTAATCTCCACCTGAGAACCCGGATTCATCCTCTTCTTCAAGAACTCATTCCCCCACTTCAACCTATCCACAGTCACGTCACCGCACCACAAAACTCCCCTGACGAACTGACCCGAACCGGCGGCGATCCACCTCGCAAAGCTTCCGCTATAATCCTCCACGTTCGGAGCTATAGTCGTCCAGTACGCAGCAGAGCTTTCCTCCACTAATTCCTTTTTCTTCTCCGATTTCAATTCCTCCGGGGACGTTTCCTTCGACACAGAGCCATCCAACCCCTCCCAACCACGCATACCCTCCACTCTCTCCACCGAAAAACAACTATACCTCTCCAGAACACGATCCAACTCCCTCAACAAACCCTCTTGTCCTTTGGCGGCGATAGTCAATCCGTAATTTAACAAATCGAACTGGAACCCGGACGCAGCATCGCAGTCGTTTTCCGATGCCGGAACTCTAAGAGTGAAGAAATAGTGGGACTCATCGAGTTTGACTGCGGCCTCATCTTTGGCCAAGGGCCACTGAATTTGATCTCCAATACGAGCGAGGACGGCAACCACGTTACCCCCTTGGCTGAGAGTGACAATGGTGAGGTCCCCAGAAGCAAGCTGGACGCTAGAATCCTTCTCGATGAGATGAAGAATGACACCGGGGACTGTGATGACAACATCTTCAGAGGAGTGAGCTATGGATTGGTTGTGTGAAGCGGAATCGTCTTCGGCGAAGACGTTTTCAGCGACGTGATGAACGTCAACTGAGGGGTAGGCCGAGGAGGAGGAGGTTTTGACGGAAAATGGGGAATCCGCGTCCGGGTTGGTGGAATCAACTTTAGGGTAGAGAGACATGGTGAAAGAAGAGAGGAAGGGATCGGAGAAGTGAGTCAATTGCAGGCGGGGCAGACTCGTGGATTGGATCGGGTATATAGGATGGGCTTAGATACACCGACAGAGACGTAAGTGAGACATGTGGCAAGCAACGCGGGAGACACATGCGTGTGTTGAACGCAGGCGCGTAACCATGATTCTACAGCCTTCACCGTTAAGGCTACTGAAATTTAATTGGCAAAAACAAAAAACAATAAAAATAAAAATAAAACAAACCAAAGGTAAAACTGAGCTTGCTTTATCCGCAAGCGATCACGAATATTGAGAATGGTGATCAATTGAAGATACATTCCTGTCATAAACAGAGTGGGAGAGACTTCCTCAGTCCAAATTACTGGACGCTTATAAACAAAACTTTTCGTTTCAAAATATAAAATATTTTAAATAGATTAAAATTTTATTAAATATATTTAATTTTGGTATTATTTTTTATAATTAATTTTTATTTTTTAATATATTAAATAATGAATATTTTTAAAAATTTACATTTTTATTTTCAAAAAATGAGATTATAAGTATATTTAATAAGATTTATTAATATATTAAATTTTATTTAAAAGTATTTTATAGTTTAAGACAGAAAAAATACATTTGTTTGGCTCATCATTCATTAATAGGAGTGCCTTCTTGAAAATAGGAAAACCGTCTCTATTTCTTTAATTTTAAGATATATTCTCTCCATTTAAAAATATAAAATATTTTTAATCTTTCAATGTGTAATCATTAAATTTTTTTAAAAAGTATCTTTATTAATAGTGACTTTTTATTTTTTATAGGGTGTTTAATAGAGGTAAATACGAAAAGATAGAGTTAGTTTGAAAATATGTAACTACTTTATTGGGGTGAAATTTAATTAAAAATGCCTTATATTTTTTAACAGAGAGAGTATTATATTTTAATCTTTTAATTTTACCATGTTTCATATTAATTTTTTTATTTTCAGGCACAAATTCACATATTTAAAAGTTATTTATCAAATTCAATAACTATAATTAAAAAGGCTTCAGGGAATAAAATACATAACTGCGATTTAATAATATTTTAATTTAATTTAAAAATTAGCGTACACTTACAACACTATTTTTTTTAAAGAAAGTTTTATTTGTTCTAGGATGTTAAAATTATTTTAATTATATTTGACACTTTACGCATCATATGTCTCTAACTGGTTGACTGTATCTAAAATGATAGAAGTTAGTATTTATTTTAATGTTATGATTTTAAACTAAAATATGTTTAGCTTTTTATAATTTTAAGGAAGTAATTTTTCATCCCCCCATTATCAAATACTCCTTCCTTTTTTATGTATAAAAAAATAAATGTATGACACGATAATAATTGTGTTGGAGAATATAAAAACCAAACTAAAATATCCTTGTATTTAGTAAAAATAAAGCTACATTAATTATTTTCTGTAAATGAAAATTATAATCTCACGAGTAACAATTTTTAAAAATTGTAATAAATGATTATTAAAAGATATGATTTTGCTTATAAATAAAAAAAATAACAAGTGATAGTTTCTCTTATGTATAAAAATCGAGAGAGTATGAGAGAATTTCAATCACCTTAAAAAATTTAAGAAAATTAATTAACACTAATAATTGTGGTTGAAATTGACATGTTTTAACTAAAATATCCATGTAATTAATGTTCATTTTTTTTCTAATTTAATAATATTATCCATTTAGGAAGGACTGACTGAGAAAAATATAATTATAACTTCTTTTAACAAAAAAGAGCTCAATAATTAAGGTTTCTTCAAATTTGTAAATATATAGGAATAAGTGTAAGTAAGGAGATCAAAACAATACACGTAATGACCAATTTATTAAAGGGCAAAGAGGTTAAAACATCACAAAATCATGATTTAGGAGCATTCAATAGTACAAAGTGACAAAAATAACAAAAATATCTATAATGTTACCTACATTGGTATGAGAGTGATAAATTCATTAAATTTAAACGTTGATCGTTATGCTAATATTTAAACAGATATTGACCATTTTTTCACTAATGTAGAGTAAAAATGAGACAAAAATACTCATAAAGTTGTCAATCAAAGATGTTCAGTAATCTAAAGTGAGAAACAAAATAAGAATACATATAACGTTATTTTAGTAGCTGCAACAAAGATCAATTTGTCAAATCCTTATAGCCTTAATTGTTTAGCTAACACCTAAATAAAATTTAATCATTTTTTTGTTGATATGGATTAAAAAATTTTCCAAGTGAATTCTATTGAGGCTGATCAATCATTGTATGATGACGAGTCTTCACTTGAAGCTTTGAATTTGAAGGCTAGAAAATGTTGTTTTAATCGAATAAGTTAAATTGCTTACTTCTTTAAAATTCTTATATAATTAAAGTTTTTTCTTGATGATTCGAATCAATAAAAGAAATTCCTTACAACTCAATTTCCTTTATAACATCATTCGAAACATCACATCTCTTTTCGACCAACTCAACAGTGTAGGTTCAATGTCTAGTTAAGAGAATTCTAGAAAATCATGCTTATTCGTCAATTTTTTTTTTTAGAAGTCTTTACTTGAGAAATATTTGAAATCTCTATTGAGGAATCATAGTATAGAAAGAAACCACATTGCATAAACTTTGACAAATTAATTGTAACATTTTAATTTTTAAATAAAGAATTAATTGTGAAAATTGATGTTTTAATTGAGAAATTCAAATGTGTATTAATATTATTTCGAGAATTTTTTCGGGAAATAAATGTGTATTCAATGTTTACTGGGTGTATAGGAAATTAATCAAGACTTAAATTGGGCCTAGAAGCATGTTTGGAAAGTTAAAAAGATACAAAATAATAATTGGACTAAATAGGGGCCCAAGTGAGTAGGATTGGGCCACTTGACGTAGGACCGCGAGCAAACGAGCACAACACGATCTCAATTTTAACCAACCTATACATAGCTAATCCCACCCCCTTCACCCCAAACAGAAGCTCATTCCATACTAACATTCTCAGTTTTACACACTCACTCATAAGTTAAATAACTTGTTTATGTTCTGTACTAAATAGACGCCTTGGAGTCCGTAAATGCATCACGAAGCTATGGCAGACTAGCGAGAGGGGAAAATCACACTAACACTCAGCCAAAAAAAGTAAAAATTAAATTTGCTTCAGAAAAGGAAAAAACGGATATCGACAAACATATCCGTCGCCCACGCGTGAGGGAGGCAGAACTTGACCGTTACAGGGGCTCTATTTGAGTAACAACGATGGGGCTCCGAACCACATGTTTTCCATCACTCCATGAAATCGATCCGAACAGCGCCCCGACCTGACCCAGCTTTAGATTCCGGCCATCTGCTGTCACTGTCACCGCATAGCTCCGCTTCTTCACTGACCCTGAGAACGTCAGCTGCGACGGCCTTACACTCACCCCAACCTCCGGCGGCTGTGACTCCACTCTCGCCCGATAAGTCGAGTTCGCCGGACCCACGTTCGTCACCGTCCTGATGAACGTCTTTCTCATTACCCCTTTGGATGAGCTCGGGAACAGAGCCGCGAAAGATGGGTAGTTCAAATTCTCCGGCAATGGCTTCCTGGCAGGACAATTCGTCGGTGATTGGGTCACCACCTGAATGAGCTTGGGCCCGTAACCGATGGCGCACAAAAAGTTCACGTAATCTTTGTCGGTGATATCGTATACCAAGCCAGGATCCATTGCCTGACCCAGGTTGAGATGTCCGGCACCAAAATCATATGGGGTCGAAGCTTTCCCGGTGGCTTCGTCGATCATGAGCTGGTTTCTGTTATCCAGTAAAGTTGCGGTCGTCATCATCGCTGACCTTACAGCAGCCGGGCTCCAATCTGGATGTGCCGATTTTAACAACGCCGCCGCACCACTTACATGAGGACAGGCCATTGAAGTACCAGATAAGATGTTGAATTCAGTTCTTCGCGTATCAGAATCTAACCCGGTGGGACCGACAGCATCGGTCCAGGCAGCAAGAATGTTAACTCCCGGGGCGATCAAATCCGGTTTCAATATCTCTGGGTTTAAACCATTTGGTCCTCTGGCTGAAAAAGAAGCCAAAACCGGTGCTGGTTTAATTCCAAGCACCGTTCCTTTGAAGTCAATGGTGGCCGTGGGATTTGCGGAAGAAGACACATATGCCTTGATGGCATCACCTTCATCCGCGCCAATAGCACAGGCGGGAAGAAGATGAGCGTCACCAACGAGACCTTCACCATTAGAAAGACCATTAGCTAGAATCATTCCCACACCACCGGCCTTTTTCACCACCAATCCTTTAGCAACTCTGGGGCTGCTTCCCCGATCACATATTACAATCTTCCCCTTGACAAGGTTGGGATCGAGTGAATTTTCCATACACAGTGAATCGGCCAGGACCCCCGACTTACCAGGGTAAACCAGTTGATACATTTTCTTGCTTACCGGTGCTCCAGAGTAAAGAGAGACGCCGGATAGTCTCCGGTCATCACCGAGAATCACATCGGCAGGGAAATCCCTATCGATAGTGCCTGCTCCAACAGTCGTCAGCCAGGGCGCCAAGTTGGTCACCGACATACCTCCAGGCCCATCGTTTCCAGCCGAAGACGCTACAAAAACCCCTTTGGAAACGGCACCATAGGAACCAATCGCAATGGGGTCAAGATAGTACGGCGAGGCGATGCCATCACCACCGCCAATTGATATGGAAATGACATCAACCCCATCAGCCACGGCGGTGTCGAAAGCAGCCAGTATATCAGAATCGAAGCAGCCCGAGTTCTTCCAGCAAACCTTGTATACTGCTAATCTTGCTTTGGGGGCCACACCCTTCGCGATTCCAGAAGCATAACCCGACATACTTGCTCGAAAAGCATACCGACCCGCTGCAGTCGATGCTGTGTGGGTCCCATGACCATCCGCATCTCGAGGAGATCGGAATTCAACAGTGTCGTTGATGGGGTTCAAGGGGCCAGCGGAACTGGGCCCCGCCTCGTGACCTTTAGAGAAAAATCGAGCACCAATGAGCTTGTTATTGCAGTTGCTCGCGGAAAACCTCACCCCCGCCTCGCAGACCCCTTTCCAGCGACGCGGAACGGGACCCAAATTGGAATCTGAGAAGCTGCGGCGTTCGGGCCAAATTCCAGTGTCAAAAACTCCGATGATGACGTCAGAGCCGTAGTCAGATTCAGACCAGAGACCGCGCTGGTTTCTGAGGCCGAGAAACTGCGGGGAACGAGTGGTGTGAAGCTGACGGCGACGGTCCTCGGAGACGGCAAGGATGGCAGGGTGCTGTCGGATGGAATCGAGCTGCTGCGGAGTGAGGGAAGCAGAGAAGCCGTGGAAAACAGTGTCATAAACATGAAGGATGTGAGTGGGCTCAGCGAACTCGGCGGTGTACCAGTGATAATGGGTGGGGAAAATAGAAGGTTTGGAGTCAGAATGAACCCGAAAGATGAAGGTCCTGGCAGGGTGAGGAGCAGAAGAGATGGGATGAGATAGAAGAAGGAAGAAAAAGAAGAGGAGGAGAGGAGGAGTGAGGAGGGAGCGAGGCATGGCGAGTGAGGTGGGGAAGTGAGAGTGTGAGGGTGAGAACTGAGAAGTGGGGTGGGACGATGAGTGATATAAGAAAGTTCGGAGGGGCTCCATGGAAAGGACGTGGCTTTGTCGTGAGTGAGGCCAATAATATGCATGTGCGTGGGGCCACAGACACAGTTTGATGCTCGAAACGACGTCGTTGCTCCTAGCTAATCGCTGAGGCGCTGTGCTAAAAGTGGGGTTCGAGCGGTTATAGCCAGAGAAGACCTTGCCAGTGGGCTCGGGAAGACCCTTTATAATTTGATGCTAAGATCGCTGACCAAGTAGGATCACGCAGAATCAAATGATGTTACGGCCTATAAAGCAAGCAAACAGATTGATGCAACGTTTGCCGCCATTGATTGATATTTACGTTATTCTGCTGAATGAATGCCCGCATATGATAAGGGGAACATGTCATCTGCCCGTATTATGCTTGTAGCGTGCCCAAAATATCTCCACCGTGGCCCCCTTCTCATTCCGTTTCCACTATTTTAGATTTAAATCTAAACTACAGATTTTAAAATAATAATAGTGGAAACGGAATGAGAAGAGAAGAGTGGAGATGAGGATTTGCTTCCATTTTGTACACCTACATATATGTGAAATGTCCGGTCTGGTTTATTTAAATGCATATTCGTAAATGAGTCATGCTTGGCCCCTCCAGTTGTCTTTGGTTATTAAAATATTCAATGAAATATAATTGTTTGGTCAAGTCAAACACAGTGCATCGTATATTTTTAAACTGTACCTATTTTCAGTTTTATGTCAAAAAATAAACTAATTTTATGATCACCTTTCAGCCCAGTCCGATTTCTATGTGGAGATGATAGCTTATTCTGACTTTAATTTTTAAAATAATAGGGAAGACGATAGCTTAGTCTGATTTTAAGGGGAAAGGGCACATTAAGTACACAGTAACTAGAGATTTGCAATCTTATACTCAATATCAATATTTGATTAGATAAGCTATAAGATTCTTTATACTATTAAGTATGATAAAGAATAATATATTCTTTTAAAATAATTTAAGTTATTTAGTTAGAAACATCTTAAATTTTATAAATTAATGATTTATGTCATAAGTTTCAAACGCGAGACTTCATTTATATCTCAAATATTAGCTTTATTGAAATAAAATGTAAATCAAGAGTGGAATGTGGAAGGGGATGAGAAAGTATGGGAAGAAGCTTGGTGTTTAGTATGATCAGTCATGAGTATAGAATGAGTGAAGTGACGATATGGGTTCATACCAAATGAAAGAGTCGCCTACTACAGCCATGCATGTTTCAGGTTTCAAGTCGTTTGTGCTTTTGTTATACCATGTCACTTCTGCTCCGAGTATGGGTAGTGGGTTTAGAAGGCGAAATTCATTCCAGTGATGCACTGGGGACACCACCGACGCACCTGACATAAAAAGCCGATGAAGGGAGTGAATACAGATATTTAAAGCCAGAGGAGAAGCATGGAGGGACCAACCATTCTAAATTATATGGAAATGAACTCATGATTAATTGGAGGTTGCTCGCGTATTAAGGAGCAACTGCAAACATCAACTTTGTAATTTTGTTTCATATACATAGCAATAAGATCTTACCACCGGAAAAGTGGGGAAAAAAAGAAACTAAGATCTTGTTTGGTTAATAGAAATAAATGAAATGAAATAGATCAAAAAATAAAAGTAAAAATAAAAAGATTAAAAAAAATGATAAACTATATTTATAAAGAAGAGCAGTAATTTAATTCATGAAATTATAAATCATGATTCATAAAATTTTTAGAGGATATGATTATTTGTACATTTATAATATATACCAATGAATTTTATCATACTTACTATGAGAAAAAATGATAATTTAATTCATTTTTATATTAAATTTTTCAAAAGAAAATGATAATAAAATTCCTTTTGAAATATGTAGATGACATTTTGGTCATTCAAAATGTCACAATTTCTTTGAAGTCTTTGAGGACTTTTTTTATTCATTAAGAAATTAATATAAATAACCATATTATCCTTAATTTAAATTTGTGAATCGATGTTGAATTATTGCAATTATAAGAAAAAAAAAGTTGTGAATTTAAAAACAAAACTTATGAATGATAATTAATATTTAAATTAAAGATAATTTAATCATTTATATTAATTTTTCAATGATAGAAAAGTTCCTAAAGGTTTCATAGAAATTATGACATTTTAAAAAAATTAAATTATTATTTATACAATTCAAAGAGTTTTTATTGGGGAGAATGACAAAAGATTCTAAAAAGACTAATTAATTTAAGTTATATCCTAAATGCTAAACTTTAAAAATTTATAACTCAATTTCTTAATTTTGTAATTACGTTATGATGAATTTACATCTTATTTTTAAAATTTTAACATGATTGAAGAATAAAAAAATTATTTTTTTATTAAAATTAAAAATATAAATTATATATTCATCACAACGTAATTATAAAATTAAAAAATTAAATTATAAATTTTTAAAATTTAACATTTAAAATTTAACTTAAATTAATTAATTTTTTTAAAATTTTTCTATCATTCTTTCTTCTTCTTTTTTTTTTACTTTTTTTTTATTTTCAATTCATTTTATTCCATTCGTTTTTATGAACCAAGCGGGACCAGAGGGATGAGTCAAAAGACGGAAAGAGAAGGACCGGTGGAGCAGTCAAAGGGGTAGACAGGAAGTTGGAGGCACATGGATGGACGGACCCATGTGTTTTGTAATTTAATTTAATGGGTCAGCCTTGCTTTCGCATCAGGGGTGCCTGCCCTCACTTTCCTTTTTTAACAACTTTTGTATTCCCTCCTCTCTTCCATACAAGACTTAATTCATTAATTTATCCAATTGGTTCGCCTATTATTAATAAATTTTATTACATGATTACTTTCATCTTTTTTTTTAATCCCCTTTCACTCTAACACAAAAAAATAATAATTAATTCAAATTTATTAATTTTTATCATTCTTCTAATGAAAATCTCAAACAATGGAATGTTAGTTTCGTTCCGTCAAGATTCATCCCAAAATCTAAAAAGTTCGCCCTTTGCAGCATATCGAACAGTCCCCAATTTGCCGTCTCGCACGGAACATCATGAGGGGTGGGGCAACATTCGGGCTTCATAGGCGGTCCAGATTTGCAGAGAAGAAGCATCTCAGCGTCTGGCCCACGCCTGAGCCTGGCGATTTCACTGATTCCCGTCTAGGATTACCATTCGCAACTGACTTAACCGCACGCAACCGTTGCCATCAAAAGCAACAGAGTGCATCCAGGTGATTCTCACCTTCAGTTTCCTACATCTTGTTCAATTCCTTCTCCACATTCCAATTTATTATTAATTTGTATAACTTGATTGAATAATAACTTTGTTAAATTATAAGCTACCCTCGAGAAAAATTGAGAAAATGACCCATAGAAATCATGACACGTTTTAACTTGTTTTCGAGGGAAAAAAACAAAGGTGATTGAAGGAGGGGGTGGTTGGCCGCGATCATAGCAAAGACCACCGCCACAAAGATGATCAATGGCAGGTGGTGGGGCTCCTCCATCCCCATCGATGGATAGCCCTTACAATGTGCTCATGAAAACCATGCACGTCCTTCTTGGCCCAACTCACTCCGTCTCTTTCCCAGCCCAATATTTGCACGTCAGGCCTTCTCTCCCCTCTGCACGCTCCCATGCACGGTAGTTCCTGAGGAGTGAGGACTAAGGAGGGTGGGGTTTCGAAGGCATTCATCGTTCATCGATCATGCTACGCCTTGAAATGGCACCACAGATGAGTCGAAAAATTCATGGTACTCGGTACTCACCATTTAAAAAAAGGGGAATATGGTTCACCGATGCTTGCGCTGAAATGGAGGGAAGGGAGGAATCAGTCACCAAACATCAAAGGGAGCGAGAGGTGTGAGTGATCATCATTAGCCAACCACTCCCTCACTCATTTCGATTCTTATTTCCTTATAATGCACATTGGATGCTTCCTCTCTCCCCTGTCTATCCACATGAACCAACCCTCCTTCACATCTTCTTTCTTTTAAACTTTAAAAATTGCATCGATTTATCAGTTGAAATGATGGATAGATTATTGATGAATAAAGGCTGGATGGCAATGTTAGTGAAGTAAACAGACTGGAGTTTTTGAAGTGCGGGGTTGTGGTAAGGCCAACCACGACCGCAATTTCATTTAAATGAAAGATTTTTTAACTACCAAATAAATCATTATTTTGACCTCACATGGTAAGTTTAAAAGGGGATATGCATAATCACCTGAGTTCAGAGACTCTTCCCTACCCCCCCCCCCAAAAAAAAGGGTCCAAAATCCAAATTGAGTAGTTATGTTATAAAAGCGTGTCTTATATATATATATATAATTATATATGACATCAAATCCATAGTAAAAAGACACTCCATAACTTGGTTGTGCTAAATCAGACTCTATATTTTAATCAGATTCATAACTTTGGTTATGAAAAATTTATTATGTGTTCATGTGAAATTTAAACTTACTATTACACGTAGGTGTGTTAGGGCCTTGAGTTATTTTTGGAGATAGGGATTATAAATTTTTATTAAGGAAGTTAATACCATTTGATGATGACTTACATGACATGATTTTAACTCGAAACAAAAAATTAGATATGGTGAGATCCTAATTGAGAGGGAGAACCCAAGATAGATAGAGACGTGTTTTACCATGGTTAGTGAAAGGTGGATTAGAATGAAAGGGAAAAGTTAAAGCGGATACTCTACAAGTTTCTGTTTTAAAAAAAGTTAAAGCTAATACATCTGTTGAGCAAATGTTAATGATTAAGATGGAACAAAACCCAAAAGTTTCTTGTCTTCAAGTCACAGCAAGCACCCGACAGATTCACACATATATAATAATTAAGAGCATTACATATATTGGAGTCGCCACTTGGAGGAGAGTGTATTGGTGCCAAAAACCGAGAGAGGGATTAAGAAAGAGGAAGAGGTCCTGTGAAAGTGATAAGCAAGGACAAAATGATTGCAATTAGCAAAGTGGTCCTAGCTTAATGATAATCAGCACCGATATTCATTCGTTCACTTGGCCCTGTCTCTAATAATATCAAATCCCATCTCAGTCGGATCAGTGGCCTGGAGCTCGTAGTGGATACCGTCCAACACTCTCCTCAGCCCATCTTTTGATGTCGCGTACAGCATCTTCGCTCTTATCCTCGACGCTGTTGGCGACCTGAAACATCCATTCATTCCAACCCAAATAATTAACTTTCCTCTATTCAATTCCACCCCCCACCTACCAATCCCATCGCGTTCTAAAGTCATTTTCATATTCTCAAACTTGCTAACGTCTGCGAAAATAAAATGTGTAATTAGGATTATATAGGGATGAGGGTACCATGCGATGAAGAAGATCTTGCTCTTTCGGCAGTTATCGACGGTGACGAAATCGAAGTCGAAGACTGCGTATCGGCAGTCATCATTGGGGAGGGAGGCGGCGAGATCGTCGTAGCCCTCCGCGGCGCCGCCCACCTTATCCACGGTGACCACCCTGGACCCTTCGTCGATCTTGAACACTATGTATCTGTGAACCTTCTTCCACTTCATCTCCATGAACGAGTTCTTGCACTCGTCCGCCACCCACATTCCAGTCGTCGCCTGTCCACCACAATTAACATGCGCTTTATATCATAGTCACCACATGAAATCTCTTACATATGGAGAGAGAGACTAATTAAAGTACATAGGCTAGAGTACCATCTTGAAAGCCATCGCCATTGTTGTGCTTCGCGAGTTGAGTAGAGCACCCGGACGATCAGCTGAGCTTCTCCCTGTTTCTGCTTTTCAACTCTGTTTCCGAGGGTCTATATATAAAGTCGGGCATCTTTCCAATTGCCCTCGCTCTTTCGTCTTATTTACACTCCCCTACCTTGACTGACTCCCATGCCCCTAACTTCTGTGCTGACGTGCGAGATAAGGATCGTTCAGATTTTGATCGGGGAAGTCTAAATTTAAAGAATTATTTTAAATTTAATCAAATAAAAATTATAAAAAAATTATTATGAATATGATTTAAATTTAATTTAAAAGAAACAATTTTTTCTGGCCAAATGAAAGAAACAATTTAATAGTGACATTTTTATAATTCTTATATATTAACTATTTAAATAACAATTTAAATATAATAATAATTTTTTTATAATTTTTATAAATATAATATTAAAAATTAATATATATAAAACTTGTATTTTTCAAAAATATTTTTTAAAAAATTATAAGTTAAAAATTTTAAATTCAAACTATGTAGAGTATATTTAAATAATTAATATATAAAAATTATAAAAAATTTTAATATTAAATTAGATCATTTAAATTAAATTTAAATTACATTGATGTATACTTTTTATAAATTTTTATTGTAATATATATAAAATAATACTTAAAATGTGAACCTTTAGAATTACAATCTACATAGTCTAAATCTCATCATAGTGATGTGGATGATGTTCATCATTAGACTCCTTACTTTCTGGCGTATCTCATATTAATTAAACATTTTAATTCAATTTTAAGCATCTATCTATACTCTAGTATCCATAACGTGAGAATGCAAGATTTGTACAAATGCAACGTACTCTTGTACCGAGAAACTTTCGGGCGCACTGTAATGTCTGTGAAATTAAAAATTTATATTCGACTTATGCATTGAGTACGAGATCCTCACTATAAATGTGGTCTCGTATGTCAAGCATTTTGAAATATTTTACATGTTTGTGCAAAAAGAAAAAGAAATATTTTATCTGCACAGGTAAATAAGAGAAGGAAAAATTTAAAAAAAAAAGGGTGATATGAATATGATGATAAATGAAAGTGGTAGAGAGGCGAGGTAAGATTGTGTGACTGTTTTTGTAATGAAGAAAGATGGTAGAATATGATGGAGGACAGCATCTTGTGAGAGAGGGTGAAATAATAAATGCAAGTTTAGATGGTGAAGGGTAACAGGCGGCGAGTTTTAGCTTTTAAGGATTCAAAATTGAGAGTGATGTAGTGCATGTAAAGTTGTGAATTATTAAGCTAAATCACGAAAAGGCTTCACTATTTGGTTCAGAAACTGTATGAAAGAAACTCTCGTTTATTCTTTAAAAAATTGCTGCCCCTTCTACAGTATAAAGCGCCATATTTATATTATTGAGATAGGGAGGGGTTACAATTGAAATGAAAAATAAAATGAATAAAAAGGACTAATACTTGTAAAATGGATAAATGTTAAAGGTGTAATGTGGCTGGCGTTATCATGTTGGGGTTATTCCGTTTCACTATCCCATCCCATGATTAATAGTCTATCTTAATTTTCTTTAATTTTCTTATATATTCTCTCTTCACAATGCAACTAATAAAGGCATATATGTGAAAAAGAAGAATTTGATGCTATTGATTTTTGTTTTTATAAAGTGTAATATATTTTGGATCAACACACCAGCCGGGAAAAAATATCATATATTTGATGGGAGGGAGTATCACCTTGCATTGTTTATAAGAATATATCAAAAACTTGGAATCGGATATAGGCGTAGCAGTAATTAATAAGGGAATAAACACTAGCGCTTGCAGAAAAAGAGAATGAAAGAAGAGCTTCTCATTGGTGCCGATGTGAGTCCACGTCCACGTCCATGTCGCTAATCACCTTCGAGGGTATGTTTTGGAGCTGCCCAACTTGGAGATTGCACGCTTCAAGGTCTGAGTTTTCCCACGTACTTGTCTGTGAAAACTGAAACCAAGTGTATGGAATTATCAATGCAACCGGTGCCATGTCAGACCAAACTGTTGTCTAATGTTGACCTACAGAGATGACTAAATAGTGATTTGACGCAAAACGCAAGAATTTACTCAGCAAATGGAGGTGAAGAGGCCATGCCCGTCGAATGGATGGCTGGGGCTCCTTGACTTCATAGACTCATGACTACCTCCGCCCTTTGGGATACCCTTCCTTTGCCCAAAAAATCCAACACCTGTTTCACACAACATTTGGACTTGCTCCATGATGCTCATTTCCAGGCCTAGTTGTTGATCACTAATGGTAATAACAATATTTTTGAAGCAATGAAATTTGTCAAAAATAGTACGAGACCTTGCGTATGGAAGGTTTTTTTATGTTATTTTATTGACTACGCACAGATATCCTCTAATTATAAGAAATCTTATTTAAAACATGGAACTAATTACATATGGACCATTTTTAATAAGAATTTGAGCCGAGATTCATCATAATACAAGAAATTAATTAATTTTTTTTTTTACTAGACCCAACTTCATCATTAGGTGCATCAAATATTTAGTCTCCAAGTGCATACTACTGTGCTCTGAATATGTCATTTCACCCTCCGTTCAACCAATAATAACGTGTACATCTGAAATGAAGCGAAGCTGTCAAAGCTCAGAACTCACTGTGGGACCTTATACTCTATGCTTACGGATGGCTATTAGAGAGAAATTGGAACATGCTTCTCCATTCTAATTTACTAATCCACCGGAACATCATAGAAAACTCTTGCGTTATTGAATCGCCTTTGGATCGGGCGCCCTTGGAGTAGTTATTCCCCCCCCCCCCTCTTTTTGACCATAGGTTTTAGTTCTACCCAAGGCTCTTCTGATATTTTAATTCTTATAATAGCCCATTTATCTGCATAAGTTACGCCATCAAATGTTTGATAGCGCAACTTTTTATGAATAAAACTGAAGCCTTTTCAAACAAGAGTGCGTATATTTAGATACACAACCTACAACAATTTCAAAGACTGAAGGGGTAAAAATTGCACGTAACAAGACTTCAACAGTTCAAGTCCCCTTGTTTTTCTATTAGAAAGAAAATCATATCCTGAGACCTCACACACACCTGGCAGAGGGAACTAAACATGAACATAAAACAACAGGTAACTAAACAATTTTTTTTGGGGAAAAGTGACAAGGAAATTCAGCCTTGCTCCTCCCACTGGCTCCGGGGTATCTCTCCAGTGTCTGATATTACTACTTTCTTTCGGGGTTTACCGCTGTAGGTTCCAGCTCCCCCTTCTATAGCAAACACAGTATCCATACCTTCTACTACCTTCCCAAATACAACGTGTTCTCCATCCAGCCTGCAAAGTTTTCATGCTGCTTGATTACAACACAACCGACAATACAACAAATAAAACGACATTATATTTTATGAACATTTCTTTTTGGTGATAATAACACGCTAAATTCACAAGTATTTGATGAAATCAGGTTAAAATCCAGATTATAGTAATCAAGATTATTTAAAAAAAAAATACAAGGCTCCATTCGCATTTGATTACTTCAATGGAAATCGAGACATGCAATATCTATAATCTATTATATCCTTATTATTATCACTCAACACTAAGTTCTTTATTATTAGGATTAATGTGCAAATCTGCTCTTAAAAGTTTTTTTGGAGGTGCAATTGATATCCTAAAATATTTTAAGGTCCAACGTTGCCCACAACATTTTTTAAAGTGGTGCAGTGTTACCCTAAATTGACAAAAACAAAACGGTGACCCTTAGTTGACTGATCATGCTAGCATGACATGCTCATGTGGCATCCAAGTCACTCTTTCTTTTCTTTTGAAAAAATGTTTTGACCTTTCTTTCCCCCCCAAACACTCTACCCCTCTAACACTTCTGAGTTCTAAATCCATCGTCGGCGACAATAGTGAAATCAAGCAAATATTGTCAAGCAAATAATTTCACAAACACCCCAATGATTTCAAAAATAAGGCAAATATGATCAAGCTTTGTCTCACCAGCACATTGGGAAATAAAATTTTCCATCAATTTAGCAGAAATTTATAGAACAGGAATATCGAAGATCTAAGAAGCAACTCTGAGCTTCAAATATTACTTGCATTCACATATCTGCCAATATTCTGCTAGTAATCAGGCATCTTTGTGCTTCTTCAAAGTCCCCAAACTTTTGAAATCCAAGAACAATGGAACTAAGCTGGCTCTGATCTGTCACTTCAAGGAAGGGAGGGTGAAGGATCCATACCTCGATGAAAGCTTGATGAATGGGACCCTAGGCGTGAGAGGAGAAATTGCTAAACAGAAACAGATCTCAGCAAGTAGGAGAAGAAGAAGCTTAGGCAAAGTCGTGAGAGAAAGAGGAAGCAACATGAGCAAGCAACAACACCGATCTGAGCAAGAAGGAAGCGATCTCACAGTCAATGGCTTTTAGAAAATTGGAAAGCTTGGGCATCGTGAGCTTTGGCGACCTAAGCATCAAGGAGTAGCAGCATCGATCTTAACAAGAAGTGAATGTCTGGTGCCATCACAAAAGAAGATGAACCCGATAGTGGTCTTATGATGTCGTGGAAGATGAACTGAAGAAGAAGATGAACAGCAGTGTCACGGCCTCGAGATGGAAGATGGGACATCAAGAGGAGCAAGGTGAAAGGGTATGGGTTGATGGCAAAGGTGGTGGGACTCACACCATTTATTATTATTATTTTATCCTACATATTTTTTTCCGAATGATAGAAAGTGACGTGGATGCTTTATAGGAATACTGCATAAGCATCAAAAAGTCAACTAACAGTCAATGTTTTGCTTCTGTCAACTCAAGGTAACATTGCACCACTTAAAAAAACATTTAGGGCAACATTGCACCTTAAAATACTTTAGGATACCAATTGCACTAACAAGAAAACTTTGAGGGAAAAGTTGCACATTAACCCTTATTATTATTCAAACAAGGGTGAACATGGCATTTCTCATTTAAAAAGTCACCTTTTTCATTCCCTTTCCATTCCATTCTGCATAACAAATGAGACTTTAAGCTAAATTCCTTCAGGCAAAACAAGAAGGGCTGGCTTGATGAGACTGTACACCATATTTTAGTACTTAGATTAATCGCAGCTGACCCTTTTTAGCAGGCAGCATAAGAGATTCATTGTCTGGGTAATACAAGAAAACATAGGAGATTTGATTGTTCAAAATGACACCAGCAACATCAAAATTTACCAGGTGAAAAACCATCACTGACCTTAGAATTTTTATATAACTACAAACATTCTTTTTCTGGAGACAAGATATGTTTAGGAGCAATAAATTCACCTTATGAGAGAATAACTTACCAGCTAGCCTTCACAGTGGTGATAAAAAACTGTGAGCCATTGGAATCAGGTCCAGAATTCACCATAGCAACAACCCCTGCAAGAATGAGTAAATTTTCAAAGAAATAGCTCATAAGAAAACCTCAGAAATGAAGGAAAACATTTACCCCTTTATCTCCAAGCTTAGGCTAGCCACATTTATGTGAAAAAGAAAAAGAAAGAAAAGAAATGAAGGAAAACATCAAGAATTAGGAATGAAAAATCCTGTAGAAGAAACAAAATGAATGCATCTTTCCAAGTGATTTTACTGACCAGCATGTGAATGTTTTATCTTAAAATTCTCATCAGGAAAGGTGCCACCATAAATAGATTCATATCCACTGCCATCTTGATGAACAATGTCCCCACCCTGAATCACGAAGCCAGATATTATGCGATGAAATGCTGTTCCTTTATAATGAAGTTTTATGCCATTGGAACTCTTGCCTTTCTCCCCTACATATTACATAATGAACTCGAATCAGTGCATGGAGACTAATAAAAAGAAAGTAAATTAACAATGAAATTTCAGCAGACATCATTAAGGTTTGGCATCAAATACCTGTGCACAAAGCTCTGAAATTTTCTGCCGGCAAAACAATGAAATCATCAAGATGTTGCAGGACAAGAGGATACCATTAACATTACCATATGTGAATCACATGCATAGCCTAGCCCAGTGAGATAGAGATGAAAATTAAGATGGTATGCACTGCCTAAGTCCCAAATGGACAGTATGAGAGGCTCCATGGTGTATATAAGTGTGTTAATTCTCCCACCTCATTAATTTGCTCTTGTGGCAGAGTTAACATCCCACTTAAGTATATATCAATTGGCAGGAAAGTTGGTGATTGATTATTCTGTAAAGGGCTGTGCCTGCAAATGGCTGGGCTAATTTTTGGGGGATGATTCCCCATTCCACTTAAGTGCCCATCAAGTAGCTTTATACAACATGATAACAGTTATTGGCTACACAGCTTGATATATGGTCACCCTGCATGATGAAAGATAAACAAGAACCGCCCCAAAAATTTTAAAATATCCACTGCACTTAAATGGAGGTTGACATTCTTGATTCGTACGAAAATGAAATATAAACTTCTACTTTCAGCAATTTAGATAACAAAGTTGCAGGCTAAAGAACTTCAACCAAGAAATCAATAACGTATAACATACCCACAGTTTTTGGTACAACTTGGCCATAGAGTCCAATAATGATCCTACCTGCAGAATTTTTGTATGTATCAGGAAGTATCAAGCAGCAAAGGATAATAAGTATACTGCTAACAGAGAGTTAGTTCGTAAATCAAATTGTTTTGAACGATAGCAACTAAGTAAAGTAAAAACTTCCAGTAAAAATGGTTCCATACCTAAGCGTTGGTCATCAATATCAACATCCAAGAATACTCTGTGCGTAATTTCAGGCTCCTCTTCTGGTTTCTCCTCAACCTATATCAGAGACAAGCAACTTCATTATTGACTAAAGATCAACAAAAGGTGATGAAATTCTTAAGTGCAATAACAAGTTATCAATTTCCAATCAGATTGGTGCATAAGAGGCTAATCTACATCTCTCAAAAACACTGTGGTGGGTCTTTAAAGAGCTGGGAGGGAAAAGCAAGAACAAGAAACATCAGGAGTTGCTTTCACCAAATGCCTCAAGCTTGACTAAAATAAAATTCTTGACTTCGTTAACAGTTAACACTAGTGTGAGAAATAGTTAAGGCCAGAAATCAACTCCTGCGGTCCTCCCATCCAATTAAACATGTTTAATGAAGCCTAAGATACAAGAGTAGCATGGTAAAACTTTTTTTTATGTTCCTATAGATCCTATGCTCAAAGGTAGTTTAAATGGTAGACCACGAAGCTAATGTGCCTGGAAGGGCTCTCATCACAGCTAATGCATACCTGCCATAGGAATGGTAATGCAGATAAACAAATAAACCTACTTCACTCTATATAGGTTTTAAGACATGGTAACCATTGCACAATTTCACTAGTTGCAGTAATTCATTTGCACATAATGATGATCAGAGCACCTTTATGCAATGATCAATGAACCAAACACATTTTTCTATATGAATGCAGGATCTTTTCTGTAATTTCTTGCTCATATGTCACATTGTCATCAACCTGATTATCACTAACCTAACACAGGTCCTTGCTAGTCTTTGTTTTTTTTAATTTTTGCATGTGACCCACAAAAATGTGTATGCCATCATCCCTGCATAACAACGTCCTTTGTATCTCTATCCATTGTCAGTTAAGCAGCTATGAATACAAACATTTCATGATCAGTGACATATTACTCTCTCGGTGTCAATAATAATAACAATAATTGTGGTCATGTAGAAGGAGGTCAGGCAATACACAGCTCAAAGCAAACAATCCCTAACTCGGAAAAGGGGCATGGCGTGAGTGTCAGATATATCTCTGACATGACCACCCCATACCTATCCGACACAATATGCCTTTGTTTTTTTTTGAAAATTGGTGCTTTGCAGGTGCAAATACAAGCTACAGCATCATTTATAGGATGAATCAAAATATCACATCACAAGAGCTTCCCTTCATGAGAGAACTACAATGCATAAATCCACCAATAAGAAACCAATTGAAATTCTTAGGCGGCAAAAGTTATAATAAGTGGGTGTTGGGAAGCTGTAGTAGAATACAATTCAACAATGTGAAAGAATCTAGTATCACAGGAGGAGCTAAGTCAGTTAAGGCGCCAGTACAACGTAAGCAAAACTGCAGTCGCAAAAGCTGAAATTTTTATCCAGCCGTATCGAAAAGAGAGATCAAATAAAGGACAAAATGGTGTCCAGGAGGCCAAGACGATTGGCACTGAGCATTCAGATCCGTAAACCCCGAATAAAATCAAAACGCCATAAAACTCACTGTAAAAATTTAATCTCAGATAAAACAGTTCGCCCACAGCCAGGCATCATTTTCCGAATCGGAACGAAAGGTGTATAGTGTAGACAAGAATGGCTGGATAGGAATCGTACCCGCTTGTTATAAGAGAAGGCGAAAATCAGGAAAACTGAAAGAACAAGGAATACAAGGAGGCATCGCGGTTGGGCAAGAAAGGACATCTCTTTCCGCATTGCTTTGTCACTCTCTTCTTCGAAAGAACCAACCATCAAATTATCGCAACTGTATGATGCCCCATGGCAGAAAGCTTCGTCCGTTGGGGCTATTTTTTTCCCTTCCCTTTTTCTTCAACACAAAATTGAGACGCTGTGGCCTGTGGAAATTCAGAAGCTCTGCCGCAGTCATCACAATAGAATGCGCAAATAATGATAAAAATTAAAAAGTAAGAAAAAAAAACAAAGAAAGAAAGAAAAAGAGAAGAAAATAATTCTTAAATTATGTAATTGCTCACAATTTAGTGAGAGTCCGATATGGAGATGGAGCCGATTTTTGTTTGAAACTTTGATTTTTTAAACAAAATAACTTGTTGCTGGTAAAACAAAAAATAAAATTACTTGTTTGGTCAAAAAACAAAATTACTTGTTTTATAATTTTTTTAAAAAAATTATCATGTATGCTTAAATTTTTAAAATAATAAGAATATAAAAAATATTTATAATTGTTTTTAAAAAATCCAAAGAAAATGCAAAGTTGTATAGGAATGTCATGAAATAAAAAAGATACTAAATAATGAATATTTTATAAAGGGTAAACAGGCAAAAATACTCACAAAATAATCAGCTACAAGCACCTAATATTATAAAATGACAAAAAAGGTAAAAATACCCATAACATTACATAGATGGATGCAAAAGTTTAACTTTGACCATTAAATGTTGACCATGCATGCCACGTGTCAGTCTTTGTTGACGTGAACTAAAAAAGGGACAAAAATACCTATAAAGTCATCGGCTAAGAGCAAAAATACTTATAACGTTATCATAATTGGTGCAAAAGTAACCAATACAACCAATCTCTTGAATGTTGACCATTTAGCTGACACCTAAGTAAAGGTTGACTTTTTTTTCACTAATGTAAACAAAAAATATTCTTAGATAAAATTCTCTGAAAACTAATCGGTTATTATATGAATATCATGTGAGAAAATGTCATTTCAACTTAATATCAAATTAAATTGCTTGTTTTTTTACAGCAGTGGCGAAAATCATTTAAAAATTTTGAATCTATTGTAAATGCAATTGCTTAAGGTTGTGATAATGTTTTTAAATTAAATGTGTTCAATTTTGATCTTTGATTTTGAACAACTTATCTCACTATATTATATCTCAAGTTTTGCAGACAAAAAAAATGAGTGAAGAGGGAGAAAGGAAAGGGGCGAGATATGTGGTGATGGAAAGAAATCATATGGCATTGATTTTGACAGATTGATCACTATTACACCTATTAAAGTAACATTATAGGTACTTATACAATAATCGATTAACATCCGTAAAAATTTATTTTAGAATTTTTTTTGTCTATATCAACAAAAAAATAGTCAACTTTTGCTTAAGTGTTAACTAAACGATCAATATTTAAGAGATTGGATGTATTGGTCACTTTTATACCAATTCTGATAATGTTATGGTTATTTTTACTTTTGGCCGATGATTTCGTGAGTATTTTTGCTTCTTTACCCTTTTATAAATAGAAATAAGTAGAGATATCATAAAATTTAAAAATTATTAGATAAATTTTTTTGTTGTTATTAACAAACACAAAATAGTGATGACTTTTTATAAAACTATAAAATTTCTAAAAATTACTTATTTTCAACTTTAAAGTAACGACTTACTTACTCTGAAATAATTAAGTACTTTGTAATGCAGCATAACTTTTTAAATTCATCTACTAAAAAATTAGTTACTAAAAATTTATGAAAGAAGATGTTTAGATTAAAATTTGCTACGTTTTTAATTGATATGCATATGCTGGACAAACGAATAACATGTTTGTTAGTAGATATTATTTTGTTAGGAAAATTCAATTCAATTCTTTTTTGGCCAAAGAATTCTATTTTTTTATTTTTTACAAGAACTGAATCGTTTATTTCTTGGAGCCTTTGTTGATTGTTTTAAACGGGAAAGATTATTCTTATAGGGGAAAGTTGACTCCAAAATAAAAATAATCTATAGGAATTTGAAAAGGTTGCCAATTCAATTCGTATAAAAAACATTTAATGCCTCAGTATATCGTAAATGGGAGAAGAGACATGTACCAAGTATGAAATAAAATGACAAAACTTAGGCCTGTTTTCTTATATCCATTATGATAAATTCTCAAATCAAATATTAACACACGAATTTTATCATAAATCTTTTATAAAAAGATCATAAATGTTATTATAGTTAATATATTTAAGAAAACGATGAAGGTGAGAAAAAAACTCCAGGAGTTGAAATTTGATTAGAGGATCAGTTGTAATGAAGATAAGTAAATAAACCAAATTCTTCCCCAAATAGGATACAGACTTCATACCGAATCAAATTCTGTTGTATTGCTTTTTAATATTGCATGTGTTAAATATAAAAATTGGAAAGCCCGGGGAAAACTTATTAAAAAAAACCACTAATTAAGAAAGCAAAGGGTGAATGAGAAAGTTAATGAGAGAGGATCTGCTACGGTTAGTGATTCGCCTTCCTCCACCTTTCCTGAAGAGGGAGACAATAGAGTTCGTTCATTCCGAAGAAGAAGATATCCTAATACGAAGCACCAAGAAGCTTGACGATGGCATGCAAGGAGCCACAGTGGATCAAGATGTTCACATGGAAGAGAAAGATAACAATGGGAAAGAGTGAAAACGAAATATGTGAATCATCCTAGACAAATCTCATACAAGGCAAAGTTGATTAAAGGAGAAGGAAAAAAGGCAAGCAAGACTTCGATGAGATCTTTAAAGAATGGCTAAAAGAATAGTCTCAACATGCACCACAATGGCATGAGCAACTACAAAAAATAGTCGACTTTCTACCTTAGGTCAATGACCTTATAAAAGGTTAAAAGAACTCTATAATCCATGGAAGGACTTACTAATCGTCACTCTAGGAAAAGGACGTGTCACTCTAAGTTGAAAACCAAGTTGGCAAGATTATGGGATACATACAACTTCGAGTTAATTGACTTTGAGAACACTATTTTACTTTCAAAATAGATAATGCTGAACTTTATTAAAAAGTGCTCAGTGATGGGCCAGGAGTAGTTTTCGGGATACTACCTTGCTATTCAAAGACAGTCTTTAAATTTTAACCCTTTCACAAATCAAATTAAAAAGATTGCGGTCTGGATTTGCATCATCATTCTTCCCATATACTACTACAATGAAGATTTTACATGGGAAATGGGGACCATGATAAGAAAAACTCAAGAAATCTATGTGAATAGAGTTACATAGGCGAACCAAAAGAACATGGTAAAGAGAGGCAGGTATACTCATGTCAACATGGAGGTTGATCTTACAAAACCCTTACACTCATGTTTTGTCATCAGGAAGAAAATCTTCTAGGTGATGTATGAAGGAATTAGCATTATATGTTTCAATTGTGGTTAGGTAGGGCATAAAAGCGAGGATTGTCTACTGAAAGTTCATAGTGATCAACATGCTGAAGGAGCAGGGAAACCACCATTAAGTGAAACCTAAGGTCTAAAACAACCTGCAACTATGTCATCGGTGAATATTGATAGCATCCCTCTGAAGACCTAATACGACAAGTTGATACTTCCTAAGAACCCATGCAAGGCAAGAACTAGGAGAACTGAGATGAGTAAAAGGACTAAAGGGTTTTATATGGGTCAAAGGGGTTTACACAAAGAGGTCAATATGAACAACACTTCCTCCAAATATGCAATGTTCTTTAAGGATTTAGAGTCAGAAACAACACAAAAAAAAAGAAAGAAAAGGTAACCCATCAAAAGGCTCCTACTATAGCTTAAAGAAGGAAGGTTAGTGGAGACAAGAAGGAGAGTAGTAAGCAATAAAGTGAAGTTTAGGGAGTTAGCAACTTGGCCGCTAATTTGTCAAATCACCAAAAAGGAAATATAGAGCCTACGCCTATGAACAACTAGGCGTTGGAACCTATGAAGGAAATAACAAAAGAAAATGTTGAAAGAATCTTTTCTTTTAAAGTCAAGAAGTTAAAAGATGATAAATGTTAGAAGAATAACACTCATGACAAGGCCCATATAAAGGGGAAACTCAAACATGGATAAGGAGAACTCTAGTGGGCTTAAAGGGAGCCAAGCTACTAGGCCAAATGTGTTATCACCTACTTTCAAAAGGAAATAATCTGTCTGACATCATCAAGTATGAAAGGCCCATTGATCTTGGATTATCCAACTTAGCCCAATCGAAACCAAGGGAATCAAGCAATAAATTTTACCAGTCATCTAAGTCGCATGATTAATGCTGTGTTACCCTCTTTTTTAGGAATTGTGATTGGAGAAAACTTTCCTCACTTAAATGACCTACAATTACTTTGGAAACAAGCTGATGGTGCAAATCAAAGTGAGGGAGAAATTGAAGATATACTAGAACAATATTATGAGATGGAAGGTGATGAAAGGGATAGCAATTCGAAGGGTGTACCAGCAACCCTTGGCAAGAATCAAAATTGAATACCTAGGTTCCTCCCCCTTTATTTATTTTATGAATACCTTTGTGTGGAATTTTTAAGGCCCTACCTCTAAAATCTTTCCCATCCGTGTTCATGATCTGGTGAAGGATAAGATGATTAAAATTCTAGTTTTGTTAGAAATGCAAATTAGTGGCAATAAAGCTAATAGAATCTCACTTCAATTGGGTTTTTCTAATTGGATTTACGTCAAAATTATGGGTTATGCAGGTGGAATATGGCTTTTTAGGAATGAATTGGAGGTTAACGTTCAATATTATACATCTATCACTCAACTCTTACATGTTTATTTAGAAGACTCTAAGGGTAATAATTGTTTTTGGTTTACTAATATGTATACGAAACCCAATTATCTCCTTAGAAAATTTTTATGGGATGATCTTTGCACTCTTGGTCATACTATTTTTGCTCCCTAGATTATTATAGGAGATTTAAAGGCATATCTATCCCTTAAGAATAAAACTAGTAGAGCTCATGCCAACTCTACTTCAATACAACAATTTGGTGACTGTGTGTAGAAACTATAATGACTCTTATCATTAAACTAAAATAACCCAATTACCAACACAACCCTTAATTACTAAGGATCAACCATAGCTACTGTAACATCTTAAATTTTAAACTTGAATTCCAATAGCTAATTAAATGGCAATTTAATAAATTAATGAATTAA